CTCCAGTATCCCAGGGTGCAATGCTCCATCTCCAGTGTAAACTTCTCTGAAAAGAACAAAGAGGAAACCCCTGCCCTGGCATAGTTCTGATCCCTACATTCATTCTCCCTATACAGCAGCATCCAGGAGGAGAAATACAGCCCACCACTCCTCCCCCTATGTGAGCACAGAGCAGATGAGCAGGGACACCCTTGCCATGCTGGAGTATCTGTGTGGACAATCCAGGAGTCAAGAGTTCCAGGAGTTCCCTAAAATTAATGTGTAACAAGTCCCTAACTTTTTTTTATTTTCACAAGAAACAAGAACTGCCTTAGGCCTGTGGAGGCCAACCTTTTTGCCTCCAGAGGCAACAGCAACTATGGGGTGTACCTTTTACTATCCCCCACCCCGTGCTTGCTGATGCCTGGCAGACCAGGCTGAGCTGTGGCCGGGTGCAGTATCACTGAGTTCTTGAACTTGTGCTGGGAAGGAAGTCCCTCTGCCCCCTTTGCTGCTGCTTGGGAGACCTGGGCTCTGCTCGAGCTGGGCAGTGTGTCCCTGGCTCCAAGCAGGGATGGTGGGACCTAGGGGAGGATTTCCCTTCCTCCCTCAGCTTGCTTCCCAGGGAAATCCTGGAAGTTCTGGGGGATGACTCCTTACTAGAGGCATCCAATTTTTTCAGTCTTAACTAACTAGTGTTAACTAGTGTTAACTAGTGAGAGGGCCCCCAGCTGGTCAGCAGCAGTGCAAGCTGTTTGTTATTCCTTTTCCTCTCCTGACAGCCTGCCCTATGCATGTGTAGCTGTCCACGTGGCATGATGTCTTCATTGCACAAGAAAAGCAATGCTGCAATTGGAATAGTGTTTAGAGCCGCCCTATTTCTCAGGAGAATGGAAAAAAACACAAGCCATTTGGAGTGCTGTGGGAATTCAAGGACTGTCAGAAATCAACCTCGGATAGACACCGTCTAAACATCCACTTTCCTCCATGCCTAGCTCAACAACACTTCTCACCATGTTTTCACTCTGTTCCTTTATTTTTGTTTGCTGAAGAGTCTTTTTCTCAATCACATTAGAGAAGTTCTATATGTGAAGTAGAAAGAAATTCTAGGTAAGTGCCTTTAACTCTGAAATGCAGAAAAAATTCTACGATAGCTCCCGTATCTGAGGATTGTAGGATACGATTATCTGAGCTGGAAAAGGACTAGAAATGGTGAAACTTCTTTTCTGAGGAGGAACAGAAATAAAAATGAGACCTTTTAAGCTTTTACTCCTCAATACTGTTGTTTCTGCCTATTCCTTGCTACTGGGAATTTTGCAAACACTGGCCACGTCTACATGTGATGCTATGTCACCATAGCAACACGCTACAGCAACCTAGCGTCTGCAGGCAAAACCTGTGATGCCTCAGCTACGTCACCATAGTGACGTGCTCCCCTGTTATAGTGCATCGCTATGGTGACATAGTGCCTTAAAATAACCATGCATGGTGCAGTACCGGATGTTACTGCACTGTCTTTTAGTATTTCCAAAAGGAAGTACTAAATGATGGCACAGTAACAATGGTGCCATAGCAGCACATGTAGACGTGCACTGTTTAAACAATTGTTCAGCTTTTGGGTCATCCATACATTTTGTTTTTGTCATTCCAAACAAGAAGATATTCATTACAGCTCAAGACTGAAATCCTCAAGAAGCTGAGAGTCCACCTGCAACACACTAGTTTGTAGCATTTCTTGCTTGCTTATGCATCTTGCTCAGAAGCTCTGTTATCTGAATTCCATTATGAAGAAATGTAATTCTCTCTAATTTAGAATCAAGTCAGAAATTAAGATGTAACATCCATAGTTTTTATGGAAATGTATTAAAGCTAACAACAGCCAATGCAGTATGGTTTGTGTATGGATAGTGATGCTGCATGTTAAGTTATATTATGCTACACTGTAGTCTTAATATCAGAATTTGAGTAAATAATGCTTCTGTTATTTCCTGTCATTAAATTAGAACCCTAATAATCAATGCCTGTAATTAAAATGTCTTACTTAAAGGACAAATTTTGAAACATTGCAGGGATTCAATAGGGGGATAAAACTAGTCTGAAGAGCTCTGGAACATAAATGTTGAATTTCTTTAAGTCAAAGTTGCAAAACATTTCAGAATTTTTATGCAAAGATAGGGGAAAAGTCTTGCAGGAAAGAGCTGCATACCTAACTGGATGAATAACCATCTCACAAAGCAAGTTAGGGGCAAGTAGGGAGCCTAAAGTGGGCAGAAAATGGAACAGATAATGCAAAGAAAGCCACATCTTGGAAATGAGAAAGCCTAAGGACAAAATGAGAATTGCGGTGATTATTTAGTATGGCTGTAATAGCAGGAGCCTGGACACACTGACTCGTGATCTTTTCCAAGCCAGCCAGTCACCACATTTTGACTTCCCCTTCACTCCCACAGCTGAGCTGCACCTTTCTTTCCCGTTTCCAATGATTTCTGTTTCTTCACCACCCTTAAGGGTTTGGCAAGCATCACCAAATGGGGCCCCAATCCCCCAGTCAAAATGGGCCCCAGTTCACCCAGAAGCCCTCTGTGATCTCCTCTCTCAGCCAGTCACATATGATTGATTAGTGTGGCCCTGCTGTCCATGAGTTGAAGCCAGACCAGGCTGCCCTATGCCTCATCTGCATATACATTTTTGGAGGATCCCAGAACTCATGACAAGAACGCTTGGTTCCAGGCATGAGTGAGGGTCTAATTAGCACATGGATCCTTTGTGGGGGGGTATCTGCCATGCACACACATGCCGAACTGTGCTGAGCTATGGGGGCACCCCCATAGCTCAGCTATGGCGTCATGGCTTGAAATGCTGTTGCCTCTGCTGGGGCCCAGCCCAATGAACTATGTGGTAAATCTTGAACCTTTTGGCTTTGAACTAATATTCTACATAGTTTGTATTCTTCTTGGCCTCTTGTGGGCTCAGATCAAACGGTCTGTGCTTGCCTAGCAAGGGAAACACCGTGACCATGAAGGTGGCCTTCCTAGTCACTCCCAGGGAAGACCACTCTCCTGGCATGGGGATAGTACCTGCCAAGGTAATGTATAGTAAACCTCCCACTTAGCTGCTGGAGTGGGAAGGTCTTGGCTTTAAGCCTACTTTATGGAAATAGGGGACTCCTCCCTGGCTTGTCCCTGAAGCCTTATGGCTAAGGGCAAGCGAAACCCGGGGGCCATCCGACCCCCAAGCCTCTGGGCTTGCGCCTGCAAGTAGGATGCCTGCCAAAGGTTTTGGAAACACCTGAGACCCCAGATGGGGGTGGAGGATGTTTGCTGGTAGTAGGACCACTTATGGTTCTGGACTGACTCTCGGATTTGGAATTTGTTTTGGCTAATTTGGCCTGGAATACAGAATTTTTTTTTTTTTTAAGTTTGTATTCTCTCTAAGTAGGTGCTAAAGTGCTACTTAAAAATGTGTTTCTGGAGTACCTGTGCTAAAACTTGCAGCAGTTTCAAAAAAGGTAAAATGCATAATTTCTGGGTGAGCTAAGCCTATGGGTACTATATGCAAATTACTACACCTATGTTTTTTTTTCCAAGTTTATTTTTTCAAATTTGATCCTCATTTCCATGTGCTTAGGGAGAGCAGGGTCTGACAGTAAGAAGGGGGAAGGGACTTCAGGTGGAAAAACGGGTGGGGGGGGTCAGAGGTCAAAGGGGCTATCTGACCCCCAAGATGACAGATAAAAGACAAATCTCCAATAAGTTTATTCTACACCTGAAAAAATATCAAATGTATAAATTTTCCATATATAGAATATAATTATTGGGGCTGGGGTCATCTTATATTCAAGTAAATATGGAATAGTGTCATCTCCTCAAATTACTGTTATTAACCTAATTAGCAAGAGATGGAATGACTAGCCAGAAGCATATGCTTTCTGGTTGTTAACATGAAGGTGTAATAGAACTCTGTGATTGGTCAGGGGGCCAAGCAACTTTACAGGGAAAAATGCCTAATCCTTGAGGAGTATTGGGAAGAACCTTCCTGTGGTGGATAATCTCACACAATACTTATCTCCTTATGGACAATGAGAAAAAATGCATGTGAGGATTAGGTGCTCAAATATAACCAGCAGTCAGTGCACTGGTTGAGCTCTTGCTCCCAAATGAAGGTTATGGCAAAATTACAACCAATTTCCAGGTAGCAATACTGGGCCCATTGATTGAAGAGGGGAATACAGAGGGCCTTCAAAACAGGAGATGTGCTAGAACTCATTTCCTGTTCTAAAAGCATCACCCCTATATCCGCCACTGCTTAGAATGCATCCACACTGTGTAGTATGGGGCTATCAGGTAAGGAAAATAAAGATACATTAGCCATTAGCAGTCAGAAGCCAGCACTCTGACTGCTGTAAGGAATAATTAGAGAGGGAATTAGGGAATTATAAAATAAATTGTTTTCCACATTGAACTTTTTACTCTCTATGATTTTTCATTCATGAACCCTGAATACTATGGAATTTAATGACAGCGTATTTCATAAAGAGTTACTAAAACAATTTATATGAAGCATAACAGGAACTGTGCACATAAATCCCTTTTATAGCATGCTGAAAATATTAACCATATGTGGAAGAATAAAATACAGACAATATATTATTTTAAGCTTGAAGTTCTTTTCTATTATTGTCATTGTGCATAATACTTAAGAATAACCTTTATCTCTCTCCATCAGTGTGGTATTGATGAACTTTGTTATTGCCTTGTATTTTATTGATAAATTGACAAGACATCAGCCAATATCTGTAATTTCAAGACCTATTATGTGGTAACAGATCTATTTCCTGAGGTGACTAATGAGAAAATCATGGAGACAGTAGAATTTAAGCATTAGCTTCTTCATTCTAACCCCCACCCTGCATCTGGTTCACTTCATAACAACCAGCACTTGCTAATCTACAATTCTAAACCCAAAAGTTATGTCTCCAGCAACATTAAAAAAATCTATGACAAGGATTTTTACATACTCACTTTTGGCACATGTGGATTAAATTCTACTGCCCTGTGAATAGCTTCTACTGCATTCATCTCTGCTGTACTCAGCCCTCGCCTGGAGGCAGCCTCTGGAGAGAATCTACAAAAGCAAAGAAACAAACACATCAGGTCAAAAATGCTAGTAAGCAAAAGCCAAAAAAGAGTCTCAACCAAGGGCCCGTGTAACCAGGCTGAGCCAATTTCCTATGCTCTCCAAATTTCCCTAGTAAGTGGAAACTCTAAATGACCTATTACATCAAGGCCAATGAAAATCCCAGCAGAAGTGGAAAGCATGTTTGCATCTACTCATGGCAGGAACTAAGTTCAAGCAGTCAGTTCTACCTATGTTACTAATCTAAATTTGCTCTAGGTTCCTTGCTAGGGGGCTTATCAAGACAGAAATTTTAGAAAAAGAAAGAAAATAATGGAAGGTAATTGTGAGTGTGTTTCTATTAAAAACATATTTGGGGAGATTTTAGGGAAGTTCTCAACCCGATGCCCCTGGGTCAGGTTGGGATTACAGCATAGTGCAGCAGCAGTAGCGGGTGGTCTACTGTCAGCTGTACTAGCGAGAGTGGCATGCCCAAACTGTGGGCAAATCATCTGCCCCAGTGAATGAAAAACCAGACCATGCAATCTCTTTCTCACCTCACACCCCACGGCTAACTCCAGAGCTGTACTTGGCAGGCAGACACCACAGGGAAAGCTGTGACAACCTTAGCCCTGCCCTCCCAAGCTGGAGTCGCTGTGTAGGGAGGAAAGATGTTGCAGTAGGTACTGGCGATCTACAGGATAAAAAGAATGAAAGAAAATTACTTAGATCTTGAAGTGCACATACACTTAAAAGCAAACTGTCAGGATGTCAGTAAAGAAAGCAGCTTTCCACTCTACTTGCTTTCCAACTTTAGGGCCATATTCCCCCCTCAGATGTGTGCATACAACTCCTGCTTGGGATTTGTGTGCATGCATCCAAGAACAGAATTTGGGTCTTAGGGCTTGATCTTGCAAGGTGCTAAGCATTCCTGGAAACAGCTGAACAGCCTCAACTCCAGCTGACTTCAACAGGTATTGTGGGTGCTCAGCCCCAAGGCTCAGTACCTCGGAAGGTTGAGGCCTAAGAAAAAAACCATACCAGGAAAGAACAAATGCTTGTGTCATTATAAACACGGACACCGCCTCCTTCCATTTGCCTGTCAGGAACCCTTACATAGGGAGTGCTAAACCCACCTGCCTGAAATAAAGACAATGGACACTGTGGTCAACAGAGTGAATTCCTTTTAGTACTCTCATATTATTTTACCTTTCTCGTATCTGATTTATACAAGATAAATACAACCAGCCACACAGCACCTCCCAGCTCCATTATATACTACTTGGGAAGCCACTGGTCACCCAGATAGTATACATAATAACTGAAATAAAAGAGTCCAATTGATGCTCTTTTTTCAGTCATTGATGAAGAACATTATTTGATAACGGTAAAATTCTCTCGATGCAACTCATCTTCTGAGTTTCTTGCAGGATAAAAATTCTTCTGCTTAGACAGCAGATTGTGAGGGTGTGGGCTCAACAGGTCAGCTAAGAGAAATCTTCAGTTAAAAATTATTTAGTTTCCAGTCAGGAATTTTGCTGGACAGAAGTTCTTATGCACTTACTTGTCAGAGACAGCTCTGGCTTTGAGCAGTGCAGCTGTGTAGCATATTGTTGCTGATTTGGGTAAGCTTATATCTGTTGAGAAGAAAGAAAAAGTAAACATTTGAATGTTCACACATTTGCAGAAAGATAAATGTTTGAATCATTCTTCTATATGGTATATTTTATAAACTGATGAGAGATGGGATTTTCAAAAGCATCAGAATGTCTTAGAAGCTCTTATCCAGTCTTCAAATGTTTGTTTCTATGTTGCCAAAGCAGATATATCAGATTTTAAATCCTGAATTAACACAGATTTTGCCCTATAGTCTGTAAATGATCTAATTAGAGAACAACTTTAGAGAACGATCTTTTTCTGATGCTACATGGATTTAATTAAAATTTTAGTTATTTTTACATAACCTACACAAGGTAATTTTTCAAGACTTTAATCACTATGTACTTAAAAAAACCACCCTTTGGCCATCTAATGCATCTTATTCTTTTCTTTTCACCCAAAAGGCAGTTGACTACATGTGTGGCAGGTATGCAAGTTGAAATCAGCTCTTTAAGTAATAAGGAATTTGACAGTCAAGCCAATGCTCATCTAATTTACTGCACTTAAAGATTAAGAGTGAAATAATATATTGTGTCTTGTGGAAATATTAAGCCAACATTCAACAATATGCTCTGGCTTTTACATGCTACTCTACTGACACAAGACAGCCATAAACTGGCCTAATTAGTTAATTCAGTCAGGTTTACTGCTGTTTTCCATCATCAGGGCTGCACAAAGCAGCTGGAGGGTATAAATGAATATGCCCCAATAGCCTTTGTTGATGGATTTGCCCCCATTATCAAAGAATAAACAAATCCTACACTATTACATAGCTCTCTTACACAGATGTTATAAACTGTCTTTTAAACCATTCACATCTAAAAGCTAAGGTAACAGCTGCGTGAGAAACAAAGGCTGTAGTCCTGCAAAATAGTACTGAATTACCAAGTATAATGAAAGTATACCAATACTTTATCAGTAAAGAAAGAGGAACTATTCATGCAAGGAAGCAGTGTGTACTGCAACAGTGTTGCAATTACAGATTACTTTATTTCCACCACTTATAATAAATGCACTTTGTACAATGATGCACTAGACTAAATTCTAAGAGCTGGGAAAGCAAATATGGAGCACTAGTTTAAGAAGCTGTAACCATCACTCAGTCTGTACCTAATATACTGAAAAAAATCATTCACTGGGTTTTCCCTACTGCCTTTTTATATACTAATGTTTCATATGTGACCTCATATTTCTATAAACTAGGTTGACTATAAAGTTGAGAACTACAACATGCAAGGAAGTGTTGGATAGTAGATATGTAAACTACTATACCAGTGATTCTTAACCAGGATGCTGGGGCACCCCATGGTGCCTTGAGATCCTTTGAAGGGTTCCATGAGGTGTGTGGAAACAAGTTAGACATGAGAAGATAAGCAGATAAATACAGACATGAGCTGATCCCTGACTGGCTGTTCCCCTCCCCCTACTACCCAGCCCCTCTGCAAGGAGATAAGCAGCACTGTAACAAATAATTTGTTTGTGGGTTTTTTTAATGGAGTGCTACTCAATTCACAGAAGTTATGGAGAGGTGCCTAGAGTCTACTGAGGGGTGCCTTGGGTCTAAGAAAGTTGAAAAACACTGTACTACAGTAATGGAATCTGGCCACAGACACGTTCTAAGAATACTTTTCACTGTAGGAGATGAATGTATATATGGGCTACTCCAACAGCCTTTTTAACATTAAGAATTTAAAAAACTACATCACAAATGAAAGTGAGCTTTTTCAGATCAAACTGGTTTTAATTTTTCAATGAAAATTCTACTTGTTAAATAAAAAAAAGGAGTGAAAAGCAGCACGTCTTTCTTGTAAACAAAGGAAAAATGAAAAGTTGTAGTTAGGAGCTGTTCACAGGCTGGTGTGAGTTTGTGAAGTAGTATGTGCAATATTACAATTTTTTTTCATCTAAAAGGAGTTCCTTTGAGATCTTACAGCCATCAATCCAGCATTATAACATGGGGAATTTCTACTAAAAATCCACCCTAAACTCAGGAGCATCTATCCAGCTGAACATAATCCTGCATTGTTAAGTCACAGAATCATAAAAAATTAGACTCCAAAGAGCTCTCAGGAGGTCATCTAGTCCAGTGGTTCTCAACCTCTTTGTACCAGGACCCATTTGTAAACATCAGTGGCCAGTCCCAACCCAGTAAACAGTTTAAGTAGAAAACAGCCCTCTGGCCCTGCTGGTGGCCCTCACTCCCAACCCTGACTCCTGGGGGGGGAGGAAGGGGGAATGGGGGGCCCCAATCTGCCCCTTGCAGGCTGGAACTCTGCCAGCATGCAAGGGAAAAGCCACAGTTTCCCATGATTTTCTCCTTTACAGGAGAATCCATTTTAAAAGTTGTTTGAGCCATTTTTAAAGTTTGTTTGTGACCCTTCCATATATTCTTGCAATGCGCTTTTGGGTTGCGACCCACGAGTTGATCTAGTCTAACTTCCTGCTCAAAGCAGGATCATCCCCAACTATATCATCCCACCCAAGGCAGGTCTTAAAAACCTCCAAGGATGGAGATTCCACAACATCTCTGCATAACCTGTTCCAGTGCTTTACTGCCCTCCTAGTGAGAAAGTTCTTCCTAATATCGAACCTAAATTTCCCTTGCTGCGATTTGAGATCATTGCTCCTTGTTGTCAGACTACTGCTTCTTGTTCTGCTCGTGAGAATCAGTGAGAGGTGTGCTGTTGAATTCAATAAGTATAGGATGAGGTCCTTAAAGCATCTGATATCAATAAACTAGGACAGGATAACTCTTACTCACTTGTTTGAAATCCAGGCAGAATTCTTCTTCCCATAAGGAAAGGGTTAAGTTAGGAGTTGGAGGAGATAGGGTTTTTTTTTTCCTTTCCCTGGCTTGTGCCAGCTACACCCTCCCAGAGTTCCTTGACTGATGCAACAAGAATTTATCTTCTTATTTCAATCTACTTAGCCATTTAAATGAGACTGAGAAACAGAAGGGAAGGAGAGCCTTTAGAGTGGGGCTTCAACACAAAAATATTTTTCATGAGAAAAGGTGACTTCTCACTTTCATCCACTAAAAGAGAAAGAGTAGGGATACAACAGGAAGCAAGAGGCCAGAACTTCAGCATACACATAAAGATGTCAGTAATAAATGCTTAACTTGTGATGCTAGAACCATTAAACCACTCAACACAAAATCCCAAAAAGATAATGGTTTCAGCAAGCTTTCATACTAGATTGTAGTCTGGTGGTATTCTGCTACAGAACCTAAGTTGTAATGTGCATCAATACAGTGGACTACTGTTAAAGGCACCATAAATACAGAAAAAGATCAAGATATGATACATATATGGATGACCTTGAGGACAGGAATAATAGAAATGGAATGAAATTAAGTGTTCAAAAGTAAGCATAGAGACTAATTACAAAAGTATCTGAGCTGGGAGTTAATTATTAGAAATGATTGAGGAGAAAGGCCTGCATGTATGACTTGATAACAGGATGAGTGTAGCTGCATCATACTGACAGCTTGTGAAAATGAGAAGTGCAATCCTAGCAGAGAGAAGAAACTATTGAAGGACAAGGACCTGATACAGCCTGATCTGGAATACTGGATATAATTCTGGTCATCCACATTCAAAAAAGATGAAAGATCTCAGTACTGCAGAGAAGAACCTGGGGGTTACAGTAAACCAGATGCTAAATATGAGACAACAGCATTGTCATTTGCTCTTCTTGGAAAAAAAAAAGCCAATAGCATTCTGGGCTGTATGAACAGGAGTACTGTGTTCAGTATTGGGCCCCACACTCTACAAAGAACCAACAAGAGTCTGCGCAGAGCAATAAAAATGATTAGGGTCATTTAGTTTGGAAAACAGAAGACTGAGAGGGGGATTTGATAACAGTCTTCAAATACCTGAAGAGCAATTAAAGAGAGGATACAAGCTTTTCTTCGTTACATAGGGGGCAGGAGTCACAGCAATAGCCTCAAGCATCAACAGAGGACATTTAGACTGGAGATTAGGAGAAATGTTCTGACTATGAGGATGGTCAAACACTGGAACAGGCCACCTAGAGAAACTGTGGAAAATTTCAAGAGCAGGTTGGATAGACACTTAGCTAGGAAGGTGTAGTCAGGGATGATTCCGCCTTGAGCAGAGGGCTGGACTAGACGATTTGGTAAGGTCCTGTCCAGATCTACTTTTGTATGATTCCTGTGATCCTATGTTCAGGAAAGATGAACTGGCACAGGTTCAGACAGATGCTATGAGAAAGATCAAGGGAATGGACAGCATATTTACCAAGAGCAAGCTAAGAGCTTGGCATGTTTGTTTAACAAAATGAAGGCTGAACCGGGATATGATTTCTGTCTATGAATAATACATCTGAGAGGTAAACTATTAACTTAAAGACAATAACACCACAAAGACAAGCACATAAAGATTGATTAGAATTAAATCTAGGCTGTAAATTGGAAGAAAATTTCTAACCATTGGAACAGGCCTCCAATAGCAGCAATGTGGGGAGGAGAGGGGGGCAAAAAATGAAATAACTTTAGGAACAGATCTTCATCACTTTATAAAAGGATGATATGAGATGGCTGTCTGCAATAGCAGGGATAGGACGTTGGAGGTCTCTACCAAACCTATGTTCCAAAAAGCAAATATCTGAATATTATGTCCAGGGGCTCTTTGACTGTTCTTCTATGAATATTACTCATTAGTCGCCTCCCCAAAGGGAAGTATAACATGCATACCCATGCTTGGGTTGCCTTGGAAGTGGCTGCTCTTTATAGGCACATGATCCCTTCACTTGCCTTTGTTTTTTTATGCCTACCTAGAGCAGTACACAGCATCTGGTATTATTAAGTCCTGATTCAGACTGAGGTCAAACTTTAGAATTCTTACCTTATTCAGCTTAGGCTTTATTTCCTGAATTGGTTCTTCATATTTCAGACAGAACCATAGTAAAATTGTATTTGGTCACCACTCAAGTTTAGCATGTACTTGGGAATCAA